CTGTCCGACGGTACTTCACTTACGCGTTCAAGTGCCGTCCAAAAGTCTCGTATAAAACGAGTTGTCAAAACGAGATTTACGAAGCGGAGTGTAGCTTAGAGGTAAGATGTCCGTCTCATAAGGGTGATGTGGGGCTTTAGAGTAATTTTCTTATTTATAAAAGAATACTTATCACATTATACACTGGTATAACACATTTCACACTTATTCCAAATATGCATTCAGATATTGAATATCTTTACTAGAACCCAAGTTATGGGAGATTGGTCTAATTTGATTAGGTCATTTATTACGGGTCAGTAGAGAAAAACTATTCATATGTTATCAACATTTTTAATGCAACTGCATTCACAAAGGTGAAATTTGTGCGGTGATGCTATTTTAGATCTTAACTGAGAGGGTTATGTTACTAAGAAACTATTGTAATTATAGTGTAAAAGAGATTCTTTCTCATTATTTAAGAAAGTAATTAATTGGATAGAACTCTTAAGTTGGAAGACTATAAAAATAACATCACCGCACAGCTCCATTCTTCCTGGTTAAAATGGCACCAAACGTCTTAATACAGTTGAACCTCGGTTTAACGAAGTCACCGGGACCCGCGAATTATTTCGTTAAATCGGGAACTTCGTAGATAGGATTGGATAAATTTGAAGTACTAGCGCAGCGGCATCTTACGAACTACCGCAGTATCACATTCGCGCAGTCTACGGGCGAAACTTTTTAAAAATTGCTCGCACAAGAACTTTGCGAATGAGCGAGAGCACAACTGCGTGCGCGTTTAGAAAAAAGAAGAAAAAGGCTCACAGCTCTCGAGAGAACGACAAATTTATTGCCTAGTGAAAAAAGCTCGTAATTTTCGCCTGCGTGCGCTCCGTGAGCAGCGGGCGCACACGCTTTTCGTAGCTGGCGAGTGAGGTCAAAGCGTCCTCGGCACCTTCGTGTGCCCCAGCAGACCGCCTCAGAAGGCCGACGGCGTCCATCACCTGGCTTGGTGTGGGCACAAGAACTTCGACAGCATCTGGACCTTTCGCTTCTTCAGACTTTTCTTGTGCGCCAGAAACAAGGTGCACTATCTCCTCGCCGTCGAGAACTCCTGTTGTATCAGTGTCCGCGTCTGCGTCGGCGTTCACAAAGTCGTCGATGTCCTGACCTGCGGCCACCTGGTCACGCTGACGAAGCTCTTTCCAACAACTGGGCGATGCCTCTTCCTGCTCGTGTTGCGAGCTTGTGGAGCCCGACGCAGCCTCAGAAGTAGAAGTGTGGAAGCCAGCATGCCGGAAACAATTAACAACGATCGAGGACCGGGTTGCTCTCCACGATGCTGCCACCATCTCGATCGCCATGTACACGTCGATTTTGGTCTCACGTTTGATTTCCAAGTTCAGCAGGAGCTTCTCGATGACCCTGCGCTTATATGTGCATTTCACACTGTTGATGATCCCCTGATCTAGGGGCCGAATGACGGAAGTCACATTGGGGTGGAAAGAACCGCAACTCCACATTCTTCAGGTGAAGCTCTGGGATGTGGTGCGCCGTGCAATTGTCCGACAGCAGACACAGATTCCTCTTTTGGCGGCCCATGTCGTTGTCGAAGCTTTTTAGCCAGTCCGAGAAGATTGCGCGGCTCATTCAGGCTTTGGTATTCCACACATACTCCCTCCGATAGTTTTCTAGCTCCTTTGAAGCACCGAGGATTCTGGGCCTTTTCAATGATGAGCGGATCACGCTTATCGCTGCCATCCACGTTGACGCACAGCAACAGTGTTAGTCGCTGTTTACTCTGCTTGCCGCCGTGGCAAGGCTCCCCTTTCCGAGCAAGCGTCTTGCCCGGCAGCATCTGATAAAACAGACCGCTCTCGTCCGCGTTGTAGACGTCTTGCACGGCGTACCTCCCCAGGATCTCCGGCACGTTCTCCGACAGCCACTTGTCGGCTCCTTGCTTGTTCTTGCTGGATGACTCCTTGCTCGACACTTTGCCAACAATCCCGTAGCGCTCTTTGAGGCGCGAGAGCCAGCCGGGACTTGCCTTGAACTTGTCAAAGCCGAGCAAACACGCGTAACCGAGCGCTTTCTGCTGCACCACTTCCCCGCTGAGTGGAACGTTTCTGGCTCGCATGTCGTTAAACCAGATAAAAAGGGCTTCTTCCAGCTTCTCGTGCGGGGTCGTCTTCAGGTTTTTTTTTTTGGATGCGTTCCCAGAGGAAGTTGCAAGGATGATGGCGTCCTTCGGTTGAAAGCGTGCTCGCCGGGATGCCGTGTTCCGCGGCCACGTCACATTTTTTCCGTCCGCTCGCAACAGCACGGATTATGTTCGCCTTTTCTTCAAGGGTCAGTACTTTCCTTTTCTTCTTTGGAGGCTCCATCCTTCGACGATGCAGAATGCGCAGATCAAAGCAGAAGAAAGAAAACTAAAGTGCGCGAAGAGCTGAAGGACACAGGCAATTGGGTGGTGGAAACCGGTAGTGGCGAGAGTAGTGGAGGCAAGCGGAGGCGCGGAGCTAAAGAGCGTCAGTGCTGCCATCTGTCGCATGCGAGATCAAGCACCAGCCGCCGCTTTCGCCATCTGGTGGAACTGATCCAAAGCCTCGAAAGAAATGCGCAGTCTGTCGTTCCGTGCGGTTTCGGTTTGTAGTTTCGTAAGAACCAAAACGAGAATGCATTCACTGCGTCGATTGTACCGCTCCTACACCTTGAGCACACTGCCATACGTTCTAGATGCCATAAATTTGGAAAAACCTCTTTTTCTGTGCATCTTCTTTCCCGGAATGATTCGTTAAATCGGGTTTGGTGGCAAAGTTTGTTTCGTTATTTCGAGTTCGTAAACGCATTAAGCCTATGGGCAACTGCGGGGGGAATCCGAATTTGTTCGTTAAATCGAGAAATTCGGGAAATCGGGTTTCGTAAAATCAGGTTTCAACTGTATTGTCCAAGACAAACTTCAGAAAATGCCTGCAAGTCATCGGTACTTGTGAAAAAAAGTGCGAAGAGAGAAAAAAGCCCTTGAAGTATGTGCATTCCTATTGAATGTTCGTAGAAAATTAAGACTTCATTTTTTTTATATTTAAAAATTAGATGCAGCAATAATATTTTGCAGAGCTGGGTGGTTGGTTATGTCTAAATACCAGAAAAGCCATTTTCTCAAAAGTAAATTTTCCCCAACTTCTTACCATCTAAAGACCAGCCTCCCCCCTAAGCAAGTGATCCCGGGTTCCATCCCCAGTGCGGGCTTACTTTTTTGTTTTTGTTTTCTTATACATTTTATTTTGCCGACGCATTTGGCGATATTTACATTTACTTTTTTTTACAATTAACCCAGAAAAAAACGAATGTTGCCGCCGAAATTTTGCTGAACGAAATGGTATGGGACTTTGTTTCCGGAGGTGCATGAGGTACAGTGGGGCTTGGTTTGCTGGCTGGACGCCGCAAAGCGGCGTGTACGACGGGGCCAAATGGGTCAGTAGTTTTGTAATTAGCAGCCGCATACTGTCGCCGCGAAGCGGCGTGAACGCAGGCAGGGGGCTGGCTTAACACGCTCCCCAATGATACACGCGCCCTCCGACTCTCTTTTGGATGGCGTTTTGTGGGGAATAAAAGGAGGGAGGGTCACGCACCTTTAAGTCCGGAGATCGGTCCGGTGCTCAAAGGGGAAATCCGATGCTCGTCCCATTGCGCGGCCGACGGCTACCAGCAAGGGCGGCCGCCGCGCCGGGTTCGGCCAACGCCATGCCAACAACGATGATCCCGGTATCCAACAACGTTTATTGAGTACCAGGGGTCCCTAACAAGACACTGCGGTCAAGCGAGCCGTGGACACAATGTGTGCCCGCAGCACCCGCCGACCTGAGAGCCTAAGGGGTAATTGCGAGCGGAGTCATCGCCAGTCGAACGAGCTCACACCGCTACCCGTCGTCGCATGAGTTCGGGGCCAGGGCTCTCGGCAGACGAACGTCCACAGGTAGTGGGGACGCCGACTGTCAGAGCCCGGGGAATCACTAGCGTTGAGTCTCTCACCGGTCGGACGAGCTCACGCCGCGACTCGACTTGTCGCCCGTTGTCCAATCCAGGACTCCCCGACCACACGGCCGTCCACTCGGAGGGCAGGATCGACTTTCCCTCGTGCGACCTTGCTGTTCCCCCGAAATCGGATACACGCGCGGAGGAGTGGCAGGGAGTAAGCCAGCATAGTGGCTTAGTCTCTCTGACACGATACAGAGCGACTGGGCTTGAAGTCAGACGGCTTTGCCCGGAACGTCCTCTGCTTACGCCTTCTCGGGGGAGGGAAACAAGTGGCTCCCACAACTTGTAGGCACAATTGGGGTGCCGTCGGACGGCACTGTAGACACAGCCTTTTAAATTTCATTCATATATTTATTTTCTTAGTGAGTTTGCATACAGTTGATCTACAGAAATTATATTGAGGTGAAAAAAAGATGCCGAATCATTACATAAAATTTTGTGTTTCAACTCATAATAGCACAAGTGAGTAATCCTTGCGTATGAGTCACAAATGTGATTTGTAACGTTGGGAATAATTAACAGTCAGTCCTCTCAAGTCAGTTGCCTCCTTAACTCGTGCTTCTCCCAAAGTTAGACGGTCAAGTGTGCACAGCCAGTGTCTAAAGTCGAATAGATAGTAATTTTGTCTCGCATATGTTTAGATGGCGGGAAGTTACTCATTGTTTCTGGTGTCTCAGCTGTAGATGAGAAATTTAGCCAGGGCAGTACCACCGCCCGCCTGGGTCTTGAATGTGCATTGTGCAGTAGTGATTATGCAAACACACGCTGGTACGGTGCTCATCCAGATCGAAACGGGCAGGAAGGGGTATGGAAGTAAGGATCCTTGGGTTCTGCTGCACTATCTTTTGCTCCATGTGCTCAGAGACCCCCCTAACCCCCTTTCCTCCCCTCATTGTTAATAAAACAAAACTGACAAACACTACAACAATTTTATTTTTTGCACATTCACCAGTGATTGACAGCGGCATTTAACCTTCCAGTGCCTACTTGGTGGCCGCTGGTTCAAGCAACAGTTTGGAGAAGTGGATGCGGTGGATCCGCAGACACTGCTCGAGTCAGCCCAGCTGGCGGCACAGACCTACCTGGGCATCAGCCAGTCGCCGGTCAGGCACAGCGTCGACCTGCTCAAGGTGCAGCCCGCATTTCGTCCTCTCTACCTGCCTCGACAAACGAGTTCCCGAGCGAGGACTGTTTTTATCGAACAGTCCAAACATCCCCTTAAAAATCACATCTAAAAGTATAGGAGCATCGTTTTTCTGTGTCGAACAGTCGATATAGCGAACAAAGCACTACCGCTTGCACGGGTGCGTGCCCGTCGCTTCTCCTGCAGTCCGACTGTGCCTGCGGCGAGTGCATAGCTCGCGTTGCGGTGCTGGCAAACCGCCAAGCCAGCATTTGCGTACAGAGATATGCAATAAAAAAAGCAATTCTAAAAAAAAAAGAAAAGGGGGATGGCAAAAGCAAGGGGAAGGGCACGCACACGCGTAGGGAGGGCAGGGAGTGCCCAATGTTGGAATGGTAGCCTGCGCTCTTTCCCTGAACACTGCTGTCACTACGCGTCTTTGTCTTCGTCAAGCCGAGTGTGTTCTGTTGACAACAATGGTTGAGCACTTGCTCTTTGAACCCCTTATCTTTGTTTGCCTTTTTCTTTCGCCGTTGTTGCTTTGCCAGTTTTTCTTTTATTTTGTCCTTTTGCTGTCTGAATTTAGTGAGGTTTCTTTTTTGTTGCTTGCTTAACTTCTATATAGTTTTTTTTTTTATGCAGCTTGTTTTTTTTTTTATTTTTTTTTATTTTTGTTTTTTGTTGTTGAAGCTTTGTGGAGGTTGCGGCCAGGTGTGAACGATTGCAAACAACGTCGCGTAAAGCTGGCGGTGTTTGTCATCTTCACCAACTAAGTTCTACTGTATTTAGCGGCTTTTAGAGGCTCTATCTGGTAAGGTTCCGTTTGTCGCAGTCTTCGGTATTAGCAAAGACGTGGGGAAATTTCAATTGGGAGCTGAAGTTAACATATCTATGTATATCAAATTATTGATATATCACACTATTTTATGATCCCCTTTGAATTCAATATATCCGGGTTCGACTGTACGTCAATCTTTTGCCACGTAATCACGCTCTCGCTTGTACCCACGCGTCGAAAGCTGGATTAGAGGATGTAAGGCAGGCAGTTGATTGGCTCGGCGAACGCGTAGCTTTCACCGCACTTTTGGCTTAGGCATGAACAAAGTACTGCTAAGCCACAAAGAATTTTCTCACGAATCGTTGCCACTGAGTGGTGCATTGCGTGGCTGGCTCTTTGGCCCATTGTGAGTGCCTGCGGCTTCCTAAGTAATATGATAACCAGGGTGTTGGACCAAAACTCTTTTCGGTTTGGTTCAGGTTATGGTGCAGATATTGAAATTGGTTCAGGTTCAGCTCCGGAGCGTAAAAAATAATGGTTCAGACCGGTTTAAACCGGTTCATATGACGGTTCAAGGAAAAGTAAAAAATTTAACCAAAGTATTTGCACGCCTCTACTGACATGAAGTGCATTACTATGGTGTAAAATAAGTGTTCATTTATTGCTTTTGTTTAATCCGTGTGTCTATTAGAATGATCGGCAAAACTTCAAGACGGGTCAAGTCACTGGATACCAAGCTTTTATTCACCGAACACAAAATTAAATATACCTACTGCAAAGGAATGCATGGGTGCCTCTTTAAGATTGTTACATGCACAAGCAATACTAATTTTACTGATGTGTGCACTCCCCCTTGGCTGCGTAAAACGACCGGAGGAAAACGAAAAAGTACTAGACCACAACACTGGAAAAGGAGGCAGCAATTCCCAAGCTAACAGAAGGTTGCCCCAATGCGAACGGAGGCGTAACTTAAAACAAGGCGCTCGGGCATAAACTTAAACAGGGCACTATTTATGGCTTTTTTTTAAGCCCGCTTAGACATAATAAAGGCAAGTTATTTAATGTGCTGATTTTTCGGATTTCTCTATTATTCAGGCGTTTTTTGGTCTCTGCGAAGTTAGAAAAATGGGTCTGCGACTGTATAGCTCGGTGTGCCGGGACTTTTCCTATTCCCAAAATTCCAAGCCATTTCTACCCTTGCTAATTTGGGGCACCTTTTCAAAGCCGTCCAGTAAGGTCAAAATCATTATCGCCGGTAAAGTAACGGCGTTGCCGGTAACGCATTACTTTTCTTCAGTAATGCCTAACGTACTGGTTATGTTTTTGAAACAGTAACGAGTCACATACATTACTCATTTCGAGTAATAGTAACATAGTTCAAATTGTTTCCAGACTTTAAAAAATTACACTTAAATTTTTTTTGTGTGTTTCTATGCGCCAAGTTATGTGAATTTCTGAGTTTATGGCGTTTTTGGTGTTGTGAGCATTTAGGTGAAACTGTAAAAAATATAAGGTACGTTCAGTTTCTGTATGGACATAATCTTTCTTGAAATATGGCGCTTATGCGTACCTCTCCTCTAATGTCAAAAAAGTAAAACATGTTGATTCATAATTTGAAAGAGGAATGTGCGTTATATTTTGCTGGTAACGGTAACATGTTCCTTTTTTTGAGGCAACATATAGGTAGGTATTGCGTTCCTTTTATTTGCAAGTAACAAGTAACAAATTTCGTTACTTTTTCTCAATACGCCTACAACCTTGGTTTGAATCTCCCCAAACATCGAAAAATGGTCGCTAAGAATGGTCAGGCCAATTTTGTGGGAGTCAATAATAGCGGTTATTGGCCTTCGTTTTTGTAAAATATGCTTACAAAAATACAGTGTTGGGAAGTACTTTAAGGGGGGACACTACCTTGAATTGCACCTTTTTTTTTTTCGAAAAATGCATTATCAGAACTGCCGAGTTTGGGCATGTATGGATAACAAGGAACACTCTCACAAAGTCTTGTCAATGTACACCGACAAACAATGGCAAAAATAATTATTCTTTATACGTTGGTGAGGCGTGCTGCACTGTGTTGCACTCGTCATCCACAAGTGAAAATAGCTGAAAGCAATGTCAGTATATCAGAAGAAGTTTGAGGAAGACATCACCTACACCGCTGGAAAAAATTTCTAACATTTAAGACGCAAAAAGAAATTTTTTAAAACGTCATCTTGAAACTTCAAGTGCATTTATCTCGGCTTCAGTTTTTGGCAGCAAATCCCACCTTATAAAACTATTGTTTCAGTAGGAAACTACTGAGAGACGTAATATCTGTGAATTATATGCCGGAATTTTATCGAGCCGGTTACTATGGAACTTAGATTTTGCATTTTCATGTTGGTATTAATGTGAAAAAATATTATAAATCTTTATTTTTGAAAATTACAATGTATGTGCAGAAGGCGTAGAAACGCTGACACTCCTACAGTTATTAGAATTAAACATTAAGTAAAAGAAAAATTAATATATACAAAATGCGGCCCACACCCACGGCAATCTGAAAGTAAGCGTACTCTGACTGATGTCTATTTGTGGTTTGACGAAGAGTTAGCTTCTGTGACATGTGCACTTTTCACAGAAGGAATGCATATATTGGTGAAGCACAAGCAGTACACCTCACATCCCCAGCAGAGTTATTTCTTTGTGTTCTACCTTGGTTTTGTCATAGCCTTGATTGCAGTTCCTTGATATTTAGCGTTTTTCTACGCCTTGTGGGTAACATAAAACGTGCACGCCGGCTCAGGACGGCATTGGAAATTAAAGTGATGCTTACCAACAACCATCTGTTAAGCAACGCCTATAACTTCATTTGATGTGTCTCCAGAGCTCTTGAGGTCTAAAAATATGCCGCAGTAGAGTTGAATTATGTAGATAATGCAGGGGTGGAACGGCTGCGCCATTTGCGCCATTTTGCGCCAGACGCATATGTCTGCGCCATCCTGCGCCATGTTGCAGAAACTGCGCCACAGCCAGTACCTCGCGCCATTATGCGCCAGATCGCAAAACGTGCGCCAAGAAACTTTTTATTTTGTCTTGGTTTCGGTTTTATTGACTCGATTGGCAACAATGAGCGCGTTCAGCCTGGTCGGCCTTGCAATCCTTTGTTCTGTTTATTCTCCCTGTGTATCCCGAGTCGGAAGCGCGCGAAAAAACTCGGATTCTAAGCGCCACACCACCTGCGACTGGATTGTTATTCTTCAACCATAAGCGGTTAAGCAAGTCGGCTGAGGTGAGGTCGAGTCGTTAGGTGTCAGATTGCCTGAGGCTCTGCGGCCCGGGATCCGGACGTCAGCCAGTTGAAAACAAATGAGCAAGATATTCCTTTTAGTGCTTCATCGTTAGAAGTTGGAACCGCATTCTCGCAAGATAAATCGTGATTTGATTGAACTGAAACGCGGTCCGATCCGAAACCTTTCCGGCCAGCAGCTCTTTTGCGAGTGATAGATCTGCCCGCGGCGTACTTTAACCTTGCTCCTGCTTATCGCTGCAAATACGATAACTTCGTTAATCGCAGTCTGCTGCTTCGTAATCGAGTTGCACAATAGGATAAACGCGAAATTTGTTGCCCTGTTCTTCCGTGCAACTGCACGTCCATTGCTTGCTCACGTCACGGGGTTCGCACATATAATTACTATGTCGAGCACGTGTGGGTTGTGCGATAAGCAGTGCTGGTTTGCATTTTGAGCAGCTGAAAGCCGCTCGGAAAATATCAAGGACGCTATCTTGAGAAACAGGGTACTGGCTTTTTGATTCTCATTAAGGCTCACAAAGTTTCAAGTTTTCGCATCTGTTACACTGTTATCCCATCTACCTAGGTCCCTAACCATTCATGTTCATCTGTTCTGCTAAGTACGATTGAAATCGCTCCCGTGCTTGTCTAAGACGCAAGCTGAAGTGCAATGAAAACTGATCCGAGCTGCTCCTAGCCTGCTCCAGAACGTAGTTTTAGCTGCTCCCAACCTGCTCCAAAACAGCTATTTCAGCTGCTCCCGTGGCTGCTCCCAAGTACATTTCATGAGTTCCACCCCTGTAATGCCATCTTTGTTACAAAGATTGAGGCAAGCAGCTAGCCATGTTAGATAAGTGTAGCTACTGCTCCCAAGACTATTTTTTGACAGGTTGAGCTTGTAATAAAGCTCAAACCTACATTGGAATTGAAACTACAGTTCTTTGGCTGTCCATGAGATTGAGGAACATAATTCTCTGCACTAAATTTAATTTCTTGATGGAGCTTGGAAACCGTCGATCATTGATGGCCTATGGGTGCGGTCAGGAAAAAGTTAATGAACAGAAATCGAGACTTTTGTGTCATGTCGACGCTCATTCTTCCTGGTCTCTGGGTTGAACCCTCTCCAGCTTCTTTGCACCCTAAAATTTTGTTCGGGAGATCTGCTTTGTATTATTTGTATGCATTGCACGTTCTCGGAGCATGTCATAAGCCTGTCCTTTGCTTCCCCTCAGGACTGCCTGCCCCAGTACCTAGTGGGCCATGTGCAGAAGCTTTCTGGAATCCAGCAGCACATTGCAGACCGAGGACTGAACCTGACCCCTCTGGGGGCCTCGTACCAGGGACTAGGGGTCAACGAATGCATCTACAATGCCCGCCTGGCGGTGGAAGGCTATCTAGCCAAGCTCAGGACCTAGTCACATTCGGCGCTGTCATTGTATGGGACAGGCTCTGGTGGTGGTGGCCAGTGACATCTCCTCCACTCTTAGCGTTGCTTGCTTCTGGTCATGTGAAGGTCGATTTATCGAAAAGAAGGAAATTTTTAGAGCCGGTCGGGTTGTGTGAGAACTGCTTTGGGTGTTTGCAACAAGACATCAGATGATACACAGGGGAACAGAGCCTGGCCATGGCGTGGTTGCTTTTTTATAATTATTGTTTATGAAGCTTGGAGCTCAACTGTGAGGTTTCTCCTGTTAAGCGTTGGCATTCAGTTCCGAGGAGGAGCTGCATTTTGAGCGAGTGCCTTTATTTATTTCTGGAAGGTTTAATTTTAAAGTTACTTAATGAACTATGTTCTTTTTCTGTTTTTTTGTCTTAAGGTTATTTTTGGCATCATCCATGTTTTGAAAGTTATGAACTTGGCATCATCCATGAAAATGGATGACGCTAAGTTTTGTATGAAACGTCGGGATGTACACTTTGCCATGTGGTTTTATTGCCAAAGGAGTGTGACTGGTGATATATATATAGCATAATTGCACAGTCTATATACAAAATAGGATTTTCTATTTGTTGCAATTTTGGTATTAAGGATTTTATGGAGATCACGGATTGCAGTGTCATACTCTGAAGCCTAGCATTTTTTGTGTAGTACAATAGGCCATTCATTCAATGCAGTGTTCAGCACGTTTTGCCATTCTAGGTGTTTTGGAGATTTTGGAATACAATGGTGTTTTCAAAAGAAAGTGCTGACTCATCTTGTATGTACCCTATAATATTGTAACTGCTATGAGTGAGAAAAAAGAGTGGAGAGATGCAGTAATACTGCCATGAAACAGATCTTAGAAAACGTTGCAATAATGAGTGTGTCAGGTGACGAGAAAGGAAGAAGTAAGGCAGCCGAGAGCACTATGCGGTATGCTTTGAGCCGCTCACCATTTCAGTTGCTAAGATGCTGCGGTTAAACTTTTTACTAAGAATCAGCTCGAGTCTCTTAATTCACTGGCAAAGCACTCTTGCCCCCTTCACTTGTTCGTAAACAGTGCGCTCAATTTGATGGGAATACCTACCTTTACGTACGGGGGCCAGTGCTCAAAGGGAACCTGATGCCCATCCCACCACGCGGCCGACAGCTACCAGCAAAAGGGGTTGCATAGCCGGGTTTGCCGACGCGTTGCTGCGAACAATGATGATCCCACTATTTAACAGTGATTATTGGTTCCCGAAAACACACTCCAGTCGGGTGAACCGTAGACATAAGGAGCCTGCAGTGCCCGTTGACCCCAAGCCAGGGAAATCGCACGTGCGTCATCGTCAGTCAGACGACCTAGTACCACGACTCGTCGCTGGCATACAATCTAGAACACACTGCAAACGGCCACTTACTCAAATAAGGGAGCGCCGACTGGCCAGCGCAATCCTTCATGGGTCTTCCCAAAAGTCGGAAAAACCTGGCGGAGGAGTGTTTGAGGGTTGGCTAGCGAGATGGCAACCTCTTCCACAGCACGAAATGGTACGCTCCGGCTAAAAGTCAAACAACCCTGGCAGTTGCACCCATGGATTAGGGCCTACACAAGGGAGGGATGCAAGCAGTTCCTACAATCTGTATGTCGGTAGTAGGCACTCCTGCATTTGGCTATTCATCCCAATGCCCTGCTCTAAAGAAAAATGATATGCTTCATTTCACAATAAATTCAAATGCAGTTTAAGGCTGGTGTAAAAACATGCTTGACTGAATTGGCCGGATGCTATGTGTATGCAGAAAGTCAATGAATACCATCATGTTGCGCTTTTGGAGCTGCTTGATCGTCCCCATTGCTTCTTGGTGCCTGCTCCACTCTGATAAGTTAGGCTGGAATTGATATAAGTTGCCTTATATTTTCATTCTTTCAGTACCTGATGAAGGCATACCGTATTTACTCGCAGAATGGGCTTTTTCCCGAAAAATTGACACTTAATTGGGATATATTACTGTAGGGGCCCCATGCTTCATCGTTTTCTATTTCCCTTTGAGCTTGCAGCACCATCGCCAAGCACAAACGGTGATGTGGTCGCGAGCGCGCGTGATTAAAAATACATTCCATCCAAGACATCGGAGTCGCTTGACGTGTTATCTACAATCTGGTGACCCGGACGTGATAGCCGATTTGAGCTGCCGGTGTAAGCGTTCCACCATGCCATTAGCCGACGGGGTTTGCGGTGTTGCGACAGTACTCACGGTCGCGCTGGAATGGTTTGCGATTGACCCTTTAAGCTTGCAGCACCATCGCCAAGCACAAACAGTGATGTGGTCGCGAGCGCGCGTGATTAAAAATACATTCCATCCGAGACATCGGAGTCGCTTGACGTGTTATCTACAAACTGGTGACCCGGACGTGATAGCCGATTTGAGCTGCCGGTGTAAGCGTTCTACCATGCCATTAGCCGACGGGGTTTGCGGTGTTGCGACCGTACTCGGTCGTGCTGGAATTGTTTGCGATTGACCCTTTAAGCTTGCAGCACCATCGCCAAGCACAAACTGTGATCTGGTTGCTAGCGCGCGTGACTAAAAAACATTCCATCCGAGACATCGGTGTTGCTTGACGTGTTTTCTACAAACTGGTGACCCGGACGTGATAGCCGCTTTGAGCTGCCGGTATAAGCGTTCCACCATGCCATTAGCCGACGGGGTTTGCGGTGTTGCGACAGTACTCACGGTCGCGCTGGAATTGTTTGCGATTGACCCTTGAAGCTTGCAGCACCATCGCCAAGCACAAACGGTGATGTGGTCGCGAGACCGCGTGATTAAAAAGACATTCCATCCGAGACATCGGAGTCGCTTGACGTGTTTTCTACAATCACGCAGGGTAAATTTTTTGCATTTACACACTGCGCAAATGTCATTTTAGGTGCCAATATGACATAGCAGGGTACTGTGACACATCTCCATTGAATGAGGCGCACTAATGGCTGCTCTATAAATTGCAAGCCTTTAGGGCGCTTTTGGCGTGCCTTTGGCCAAAGAGAAAGCGCCCTACGAAGCTCACTCAGCACGGAGAGCGACGCAACCATTCTTAGACCTAACCACTTTCACAATATCACTGTCCGAAAGCGGATCAAAGACGTTGGCGTGTTTGTTGACATCAATGCGTCCAATGGACGAAGCACGTCCCGGGCTGGGAGCTTCGCTAGGTGTGCGTGGCGCTCGGTGGGCATGGTGGCTGGCAGGCTTAGTTGGACGCAGTTCAAGACTCGCGGAGCCGAAAATTAGGAGTGTGCTCATTACGCTAGAAAAAGAAATTCAAATATTGGTGCCTGTTGGGGGGATTGCATTCATTATGCAAGTGCGTTACAGAAAGTGCCGTAACCCATTTTAGTGCTTAAAGGGGTAGTGAAACGAAATTTTAGTGCCGATCTTGTTGCATAAATATGGGCTAGGGACAGGCACCACCTCGGAAATATAAATATTGCGCTGTAAAACACAGGAGAACTAATTTTAAACATAATTAAACGATTTCAAATTCTCATCTGGTGGATTTCAAATTCTCATCTGGGGGAAGTTCTCGTGACATCACTTGTGCCAAAATAGCAGCGCCGTTCTGCGGCAATGCGACGTGCCGGCAGAATTCGCCTAGGCCTGAACGCGTTTGCAAAGCCTTGGCGGAGAAAGCCAAAGCGTAGTTGGCCACAGTGAGCTCGTTCTCGTTGCGGCTCTTTGCACGACACGGCCCGAGCATGCTTCTGGCACGGCCGGTATTAGTTGCTGTGAGTCGCGAGCTGCAAGCCGACGTTAAAAAGGATATGTTTGAACTACGAGGGTGTCAGCAAGAGCCACGCAAATGCCAAATACCTGTTCACACTCGGAGCGGACACGCGCGTTTGGTCGAAGTGCTGGATTCGCTCTGTTAGACCGCGTTTCGGTAAGCGCTTCTGGACCGATCTTTTACGATTGCAACTCGATACTGACATGACACTCGGCAAAGAAAGGTTAGACCGACATCGCGTAGCTCCCACGAACTGCTATAGCTCGACACTGACGTAGCGTCGAGTCAGAATAAAAATGGCATACTAATAACAGAGTGTACATACCGAGTTGCCAAGGTAGTCCGTATGGCGTTTATTTGAGCTCTATATCACACAAAACAAGGAGATAGAATCAATGAGAGTCCCTTTTCGACGACAGCGTTCGTCACCGCTGTCTTGGAAAACAAGGAGATCGAGATGACAAGGGGAAAATATTGGCCTCTGAAATTTAGTTCAGGGATCAAACTACTCATCCGGTAAGGGTCCACAAGTGTCGCGCGGGCATATTCCATTCAGCAGGCCAGCCGGTCATGGACAGACGGTCTTGGCCAAGGACCGCCGGAGCAACGGTGCTGACGGTGCGCCGAGTCGATGTTGCTGCTAGGCCTACTATATTCTGCCGAGCTCGCTCGGTCGGCAGAATCGTGGCTGTTGTAGCTCTTCTCGTGTGTTTGTGGATCCTGCGTTCTTGATCGTCGTGGTCTGTTTTAAGTACTCCTTCCTTTTTTCTTGCTGGTTGAAGTCGGGACGCACGAGAAGAGCACGAAGAAAAATAAATGTCCGTTGGTGGCCGATACCAAGTAACTGAGCGACGCTGTCGGCCTTGTTGATTTGATCGTAAAAAGTGCGTACAGCTTCGGAGCTGTCGTAGGATTCTGTCGTAACCTGCTCAAAGGTTACGACAATTTCGTTTCGAGAGCACGGGTTTTCTCTCAAATTTGTCGTACGCACTTTTTTCGTCGTGAATTCGCTTTGAGAATCCGGCCTCAGTGCTGGTTTTGTCAGTGCTGCCGTGGTTGCCGACTTGCCGTGGTCCCGTCAGTGCCAGGACACTCCCATAGACCCAATGGAGTCGATTTCTGGGAAAACTGGGCGCTCAGCAGCGCTTCCGTGGTCGGAGGCGCTCATTACTGCAACGAATCGAAGCCTCATTGCTCTATTAATAGATTGCGAAACTAAAATAAGCAACGATAATTATGTTCATAAATTGAAGCGCTAATGTTTTATTAATTAAAATTAACTGTTGGGCTAGTTGGCTACACATTGTATAAAAATTCAAAAGCGCAAACACCAAGGAAAAGAAGAGGGGACAGGACAGAGCGCTTACTCCAACTGGAAGTTTAATGCATTCCCCGAGGAAGACATAAAAGAAGAATTAGGTATGTGAAGGTAAAAAAGAAGAAGAAAAAAATTATTGTTATAGTTTATAGACGCATTAAAAAAATTTAAACTAAATCTTACCCCTTGACACTAGCGAAAAAATGATCAAAATTCAGAAATATGGGCAAATATAAGGTTAGAAAACACTAAAATGACCCGCGTTAAGGAAAAAGGTCGAGGTATCTCATCTCTTTCTCGGACAGCGCTATTGATGGTGCGCTTATGCAAGCTCCTCCGAGAGACAATATGGTTTTCGCTTCATAGAGTTCTCGGGATCTTTTTCTATGGTAATGCTTGAGGATCTTAGTCTGTTGGAATAGGGGTGTGCAGTGGCAGTCACGGACATGTATCGCGAGATGTCCCGATGGTGATGATTTCAGAGAAAGGTGATGCTCTCGAAGTCTCACGTTCACACAGCGCCCAGATTGTCCGACGTAGACTTTTCCACATGTGAATGGAATTTCGTAGACTACGTTGATGTTGCAGTTGACGTACTTGTGCGTATGCTTGACGGTGCAGTTGTTGTTATTTTCGTTTTGCGAATTAATCTTAGGACACAATTTTTTTAGTTTGTTTGGAGCTGAAAGTACCACTGGTACTTCATACTTTGAGCCTATCCGTTTGAAGTTGTGTGATATGTTGTGGAAGTAGGGTATCACTGCCGGTCGCGTTTTCTTGCAATTTCGTTGTCCTCTTCCCTTGGGAGTTGTCAGACATTCTGCTACATCAAACAATAATGAATTGGTGTATCCAGAATCCTGCAGCCTCTGCACTTGTGCTTCGAAACTGCGCTTAGCCGTGTGTTCACAGGACTTGTGCAGGGCCGCTTTGAAGCAACTCTGCACTATTCCTCTTTTGATGATCTTGGAGTGGGCAGAATCAAAAGGTAGGAGTCTTTTTTTGGACCGTGGTGCATAAGTCCAGCAAGTGTGCGATTTTTCAAAGGACAGGACATTATTGTTTGATGTAGCAGAATGTCTGACAACTCCCAAGAGAAGAGGACAACGAAATTGCAAGAAAACGCGACCGGCAGTGATACCCTACTTCCACAACATATCACACAACTTCAAACGGATAGGCTCAAAGTATGAAGTACCAGTGGTACTTTCAGCTCCAAACAAACTAAAAAAAATTGTGTCCTAAGATTAATTCGCAAAACGAAAATAACAACAACTGCACCGTCAAGCATACGCACAAGTACGTCAACTGCAACATCAACGTAGTCTACGAAATTCCATTCACATGTGGAAAAGTCTACGTCGGACAATCTGGGCGCTGTGTGAACGTGAGACTTCGAGAGCATCACCTTTCTCTGAAATCATCACCATCGGGACATCTCGCGATACATGTCCGTGACTGCCACTGCACACCCCTATTCCAACAGACTAAGATCCTCAAGCATTACCATAGAAAAAGATCCCGAGAACTCTATGAAGCGAAAACCATATTGTCTCTCGGGGGAGCTTGCATAAGCGCACCATCAATAGCGCTGTCCGAGAAAGAGATGAGATACCTCGACCTTTTTCCTTAACGCGGGTCATTTTAG